TGTCATTGATGTTATCTTAAAAAAACAAAACTGCAAAGTCATTGCCATTGAGTTAATTCCAGCTTACAGCTACCTGGGAGGATGGTAACCATTAGGGAAGCAGATCGCTGCATCTTTCTCCTCCTTAGTCTCCGATGGGTGAAGACTGCCCACTTTTCTGTTTATAACCCAGAACGTCGGCCACTGCAACCACCAGATCTCTCTTACTGGTACCAACCGCTGGCTTGTTAGTCCTCTCATGTCTTCTCCCAGCAGTGCCCTTGTACATGTGACTCATAATCCCCCCACTCCTGTGTCAGGATAAGAACAGATTGTTGTTGGCCTATTAGACGGCATCGCATCAGCTCCCTGCAGTGACAACCCTACAAGTGCAGGCAAACAAAACGCTTTCTGGTCCTCACAACTGATACTGTGTTTGAGCTCATTGTCACAGTCAGTGGGTCAGTTTATGTCCTGGAGGGTCTTGTTGCGGTGGTGGTTGTTGGTGTTGAGCCTCTGCTTTTCCAAGCATGAAGTCCTTCTTTAGAGGCTGGCCGCTGACAACAACATGTCCAAAATATTTGCGTCAACATTGCCATCCTCTCTTGTGAGGACCATCCCATCCATTCATGTGTGTCTTTCTAGGTGGATTGTTGTGGTCATGGTTGTTGTTGTTTGTTCTTCAGTTGTTGTTATGTGCCATCGAATCCTTTAGATACTCTATGTTCAAGAGCTAGTTTAATTTTTTGGCATCTATTTTTGTTACTGTTGTCATCTTTTTATGAACCTTTTCCTTTCTTCATGTATTTTACCCATTTTGTCATCCTACAACTCTTCTGGTCTTCATTCGTTGGTGTTTAGGGTCTCACTCTGTTCTTGTGATGGTCTCTAAGTTCAGGTGAGTTCTACTCAAGCTCATACTGGCTGTAGTGGACTTGTAGTTGTCTTCAACTTCAATTTGAACTAGCATAAGAGCAATTAATTCATAGTTTGTTCCGCACTTAGCGTGGATGTTATTCATACTGATGATATTGAACTTCATAATCTCCTTCCACAGATACAGTCAATTTGATACTTGTGTTTTGTTCTGTCTGGTAAGACCCATTCATATAGTCACCACTTATTTGAAAGAAGTCTTTCATTTATAGGCCATTTTCTTGCAAAATTCTGCCCAACTATCTCCAGCATCATTTTTACCACCAAGCAGGTATTTTTCAAGTACTGATCCTTGTTTGTTTATCGGCACATCTTTTTTCCATCAAGTTTAATATTTTTTAACCAATAGTTGGCAAATTATTGTAATGGAAAATGAGTTTGTAGAAATGGGTAGAAATTGTTATTTAAACACACATACATGCCTGGAACCATCAGCAGTGTATGATAATTCTGGTCTAAGGGAAATAGATATAAAGAATAACTGATGGTCAGCTCTACCTGACCTTATTTTCACAGGATCTGACAAGCAAGCCCCTTTTATCAGCTTGCTCTCAACAAGGACTCCAGAATTAGAATATTACTTTTATTTCGTTTTCAGCAATGTGATTAGCCATCACCAAAATGGATTTTCCAACTTGAAGAAAAGACATTTAAACAGGTTCCTTCTAAAAGAGCACCAGAAAATTTCCCCTTTCCCAAAAGAATGAATGCTAATGAGAAAGTAATTGCAGACGAGCTTCTTTTCCACTTAGTATTAACCACTCAAGACAGAGCAGACTTCAAGGTAGCTTAGAACTTAGAACACCTGAGGGATTTAGGAGGTATGATTTCTGTTACCATCAAACATAAAGGAGGACGCGGAAGTATTTTACAGCTATGAATGAAATTAGTCTTTAGGACTTTGTCTCTTCAACAAGACCAACTTTGTGTTTCCACTCTGCCTGCCTTTGGCGGAAGATTGCTCCCCTGCATCTGCCTGGGCCAAGGCTGTTGATAACTTCCAAAAGCAATGTCTTACCATTTCCTCCCAGGATCCATCGTACGTGGTGTGGGGGACACAGGGCATTTATAAGTGGTGGGACTTAGCCTTCTTTGGTCACATAACTTAAGGACACTGTTACCTTCTTCCACCTTCTGTGCTGCTTCAGGGAATTCCAGACCCATCAAAAATCATGTCCTCTAATGCTTACCCAAGTGCTAAATTTGTTTAGATGGGAGGTAACTTTACATGTGAAATATTTCTCACCTACCTCCCACTCTCCACCCCCATGCAAGAAGCAAGCTCCTATTGATTTCTAGGTGTGAATACCTAGTTATTTCGCTCTGACTCAACTTTCCATTCTCATCTTTGATAAGATTGGTCCTAATGAAATATGTTTGATGATATTTGACAGTGTCTGTTATGAGGCCATCTCACATGTTCACTAATGAGATTGAGGGGATGGATTTCCAAAAGAAAACTGTTTCTCTCTTATAAAAGAAATCAAATTAAATCCCTTTGACAGATAGCCTCTGTCTTGAGCGTTTACCACCTCCTTGGCACTGCCTGAATTGTAGTCATTGATCAGTGGTACTTAGAGTAAGAGCCTCACGCTTTAAAGATGGGCGATGGAGACCTTAAGCAATTGGAAAAAGGCAGAGGCAAATTTTAAGCACAAATAATCTAAGCCTTAAGCCTGATTATTAACCTCCTTGCTGGACTCAAGAGTGTGTGGATTCTGAGTCCCCCGGATGTCTGTAAAATAAGATAGGCCTTGCCTTTATTGGAGCACAAAAGAACTGCTTAAAGCAAGATATGCCTGTGGAAACCAGTGCTGTAATTTCAAGATCTTCCCTCTAACTAATGAAGGGCAATTTCTTTGCAAGAGAATTAAGCACGAAATTGTGCAAGGGTTGAAACGCTCGCTGAAATCAGGATTACACCCACTTTGGCATGCTGTGTCAAGCACCCAAGGCATAAGGAAAGAAAAGCAGGCTGGAATGAATGGTTACACAGTCAGTACTGAGCTGCAGCCATATCTGTGGTTAGTTTGCAAATGGACATTTACATTGCCTTTCGATGGATCAAGTTGGTGTTTATTTGCCAAACATGTTCTTTAGATCTAGGAAAAAAGACTTGCATGGCCCCAGGGAGTTTCACAGTTGTAATCTAACTAGGCTGTCCAACTTACTTTCTGTACTGGGGGCCCCAGAGTGTTTGATAAACACCAAGTCTAATAACCCAGTGACTTTCAGGAAACAGCCACCTCTGACTTTTGCAGTCGGTCCCACTTGGGACCTGTGGACTGACACCACCCAGCATTTGGTGTGGCTGCTCTTTGAGCTTTAGAAATGCAGGATTCTTTCCCATTTCAGACTTGGCAGGAGGGAAACAAGGGGAGCCAGAGATTATCTTTGTGAAAAATCTAGCTTTTATTACATCACCTAAAGTAGCACAACCTGCTACACTAATGAAATTGTGTTCTTGGTTTAAAAGGGCAATTGTTAGGCTGACTTTGTGCTCACTAAAAACATTCCCCCAATCTTGTTAAATTATTGCTCTCATTTCAGATTTTTATGGCAGTGCCGTTTACCAGCCCTCATTTCTTTACGTTTCATTCATTTTCCTTGTATTGATGATTAATGGAGGATGTCGAATGTTAGAATGAGCAGGCATCAGCAATTGCAAGATCATAATTAGTTTAGCTGACGAGGGCCTCTGATAGCACTTGCATCTGGATGGAAAAATTACCCTATAGGGAACTGGCTACTCACCAGGTCTTTTTAGTGATACATTGTGAAACACCCGATGAATCAAATGCCCTTTCAATGCCAAGAAAGTGTTCCAGTCTTGAAGCCAAAATTATGTCTGCAGAAAGCTTTCCATTTGAAATGTATCAGAGTACAATTATAACCATTGTATTTTCTTGGCAGGGATTCCACGCTTCTACAGTATAGACTCAAGTTAAATAAATTGCCAAATTTTATGAATCCTCGAAATTTTTACTTACTATGTTTGTAATCTTAAATTGATAATGAAACGGGCTCCTAACAAGACTTTTTCAGTCCTTATCGGACATGTAGGTTTTATCATTAAAGGCTTTGCTTCCTAGAGAAAGAAGAGCTGAATTATAGTGCTGGCTGGCTTTTTTTCTTCTCTCTCTCAACTGCAGGAGAATTCCATTTCCTGCCTGTTAGCTTTTGTGCCGCAAATACAGCCCGACTTTTGTTTAAATGAGAAGTTTAACGAAATCATTACTTGAGAACAAGAAGGGAACAAGCGCTGCTAATTATCTGCTCTTACATAGATGATTTTTTTTTTAATCTGGCGATTGCAGAACTTATCCTCCGAAAATCGAGCTGTATTTGGACACTGCTGGTAATGTCCCAAGTTTGAGTCAAATGGGATAAGAAGCCATTACTAGGACAGTGTTGTCTGGCTGACGCAAGCACCTCATAAAGGCTCTCATTGGTAATACTGAACTTCTTGGCACAAGATTCTGCTAGGCCTCTCAAAGTCAGGAAATAAGAGTGTGCTCTTCCCAGTTTTACAATTGCAAATGAAAGACCAGAATTGAGTGTACTCTTTTCTCTTAATTACGTGATGTAAATAACATACAGAAAGACCCACGTCTCTCAGGATACGCAATGGCTCACATGCTCCCTTTGCTCCGAGCTCACATGTACTCTAAAGCTCAGGTGGCAATATGTGTGCACCTCCTTCTCCCAAGTAGAGGAGCCCGTTGTTGTTCTCTTTCCGCTTACACTGTGGCACTTTTAAAAGGTGTATTTCAGAACTCCGCATTTCAGAGCCATCATTAGAGGCACAAGCCTCAAAGTTCAAAAAGTTAAAGCTGTTTCTGTGAAAAGCCTTTGGTGTTCCCCACACCTCATCCATCACTGTAGGGTTAATTATAATGAAAATCAGCGGTGCCTATTAAACACAATTGAACCTGACCTCATTATGGGCGCTGTGGTTTTATACTGTCATTGTTGCTAGTCCAAAGACAAAACTCCTGGATTGATTTGGTTTAACTCCACTGATCATGTGACTCACCTCTGACCTGGTGTGTTTTTTTGTTGGTTTTTTTCTCCCCCTATTTCAGAGACGGAGAGGCTCGGGTGTTTTTTGTGCCAATTGCCTGACCACAAAGACCTCTCTCTGGCGAAAGAATGCAAATGGTGGATATGTATGCAATGCGTGTGGCCTCTACCAGAAGCTTCATTCGGTAAGGACTTGTTAGTTTGTTTCAGGAAAAGCTTTATAAGTCAGTGCTGGCCCTGTCCCTGGTGTGGCCAGGCCTGTTCCCTGGCCTGCATTGCCTGTCCTTACAGGGCTATTTAATCCACTCACATTGGGTGCACGTGTGATTTATGGTACAGAGTGCTTGGACATTATGGGGAAGTATCTTTGAGATCATTAGTAATGCATTATGCTTCTCTTGATATCAAAGTGAAAACTGATTGATTTCTGACAACGTCACAAGCATGTTGTTTTATCAATAATAGTTACTGGAATTTAGTGAGTAAAGTCATAAGTAGGAAAAAGGGGGTTTTTTTTACCCCCTAAAGTTTCAAATAAACAAAAACATTTTAAAAAATAAGGGTAGGGTGCACAGTATAAAATACAGGAAAGCATTCTTATTCCCAAGTTTCTTTGTGGAATTAGCAAGTGTCATCCTGACTCTTTGGGAGATGAGATATGAGACCCCGTGCAGTGTTACCACTGGGCATTTGGGAGAAAGGGCTGAGTCCTGGCACAGTACAAAAGCAGTTAAAGCACAGTAGGATTTTGTTTTGTAGGAGCCTTTATGATCTTTTTCATATGGCTTAAGTTCCTGGAGCTCTGGTGGCATAGTGAGTAAGGAGTTGAGCTAGCAACCCAAAGGTAGATGGTTTGAATACACCTTGTTTCCTGCAGGAGAAAGGTGGGCAGTCTCCTACAGCCTCTGAAAATCCACTGGAGGGTCAGCTATGAGTTGGTTCCACTCAAAGGCACATAAGTGAAGTGTGAAAACCAACCAACCAGCCAACCAACAAACAAAAAACTCAACAAAACAGACTCAGTCCCACAAGGATAAATATTATATAAAACTATTATTGTAGAATGAGGATGAGGGTGTGCAGGAGGAGAGGAGATTAATCATCGGGTTGTACAATTAGATGGAAGAAGAGTGAGAGAAATTGAAAAATTTGTTCTTGAAAACAATGTATTCAAGTTTTATAAATGAGAAAGTTAAAAATAAAATAAAATTCAAAGAAAGATAAAAATATATGTAAACCTGTAAATTTTAGTTAAAATTCACCATAAAATTTAAACCCACAAATTCCCCATACAGTTTGACTTTTCGAAAGTATATGTATTTTTTTAGTGTGGAAAGTTTATCTGACTACAAGAGTAGACTTTGTAATAGGAGTACACGACTTAGTAAACAGAAATCTATTTCTCTCTGCCTTTTTTATTTCGTTGAGCATTTTACCATTGCAGTTAGCACAAGACAGTGAATAGATTATTGCTTCAGGGAATACAATTTAGACTAACAGTCCTCATAAATGAACCATTGGAAGCACTCTTTAAAAATACATGTGCTGTCAACAATATTAATTGGAGATAAACTGTGAAAAACCTTAGTTTTTCACATGTAACTAATGGAAAGATTTCCCCTCCTGTCACCTTACTTTTTTGTTTTAACCCTCACCGTTTTAGCACAGCAATAAGTTTCCATTTAATTAACATTGACATTAATGATTTTAATTGAACTCTAGCCAATCATAGACCAAGAATTAATTAAAATACTGCTCTACTAGGGTATGATTATTTGACCACTGATAGAAACAAAACACTTTTATACAATTAGTATAATATTCATTTCTCCAGAGACAAGGTGTATTCTCTTTTTATTTTGTTAAGATCATAATCAAGTTGCATAAGGTGTGCTCATACTTTATGTCAAAGATTGCCCCAAAGTTATGTAAGTTTTTGTAAAAAAGTTTTAACGCAAATTTCAGATCTCTCAATAATATGAAAGTTAAACACTACATACTTAGAATTCAAATATGACTCCTTAATTGTGAACAAAATAAATGCATATGGCAGGTCCAAGATACGTGACCATTTTCATTCTGAAATTAACAGTTGAATTGCTAGGGCCAAGGCTGCTGTCTTTTTTATGCTTTTCGGGGGTTGGGATGCAGCAAAGAGTATCAGGTCGTTTAATTGAGAGATTTATGGAGGCAGGTGTGAGTGGAAGGGGTGGGGACAGTGATGTTTGACCCAGATCTCCTGGAAGTTGTATTTAAAATGATTTAATATGTGAAAGACTCCTTTGCATTCAGATGGTTTTTTGGATTTGAGTTTTTTAAAAAGAATAGTTCATACACCCGTGTGTATATATATGTAAATATATATAATATCTTTTTATGTACTAGCTACTTCCTAATTTCCATAATCTTTCAGAAGGAGTACTATTTAGCCCATTTAAAGAGCCTGCTTTAAAATTGTTAATCTGTAAATAGACATTAATTTATAGCAGACTTACTCCCTTCATTGTACAGATTAAAATTAGAGCTCTTAGTGCAAGTTTTTATTATAGTCTTATCCATGGATTTTCATCATCTAGTATAAACACCTGTTGAACATGAACATAATTACTGATCATACCTCACTTAAGCTGAGGGAAAGTCAGCATTTACTTGAAGTATGAGATAAAGTGACAGATCAGTTATTTAAACCAAGACCACAAGTGAATTTACATTATCAGCATAAAGCAAATGTGTCAACAGTTCACAGGTAAAATTGTCCATAGCTAGTAGAAAATACAATAAAAAACAAACCAGCAACCTAAAGTAGCTTCAATTAACTTACTTTCCTTAGAGTTTTGTCAGTTTCTCTTTGATTTTTCGTGCTCTGAAATTTACTATTTTTACAGTCACACTTGAAATGATGTATGAAGCATATATAATTTCTCCACTATTGTCATTACTGCGTCTCCCACATTACCGTGTTGACTTCTAAGTGCACAACTTAGAAGTTGAGAAACATTTCAGAAAAATTCCATTTCTTAAAAAAAAAAATCCATTTCTTGAATTCCCTCTCTACCTAGTTTCATTTCTAAGTGATGTAATCCCAAAATCTGTTGAGCTTGGGAAAAAAGTTGTTTTCAGACACTTTCAGTCTTTGCTGCTAGTAAGATGGACATGATTTAATGAGGCCAATGTCATGTGCCTAGGTTCCTTTCCTAACCTGCTTAGAGCAAAAGGAGATTTAGAAAATCTATAACATAAGTCCTATCCTTGCTTTGAACTTAAGCATGCCTTATATTTGTGAGGAATTTTCAATGTATTTTAATGTCTTTCTTAATGTTTCCCTTTTATGTATTGTGTGTGTGTTTCTCTACAGACTCCCAGGCCTTTAAACATCATTAAACAAAACAACGGTGAGCAGATAATTAGGAGAAGAACAAGAAAGCGCCTTAACCCTGAGGCTCTTCACGCCGAACAGCTCAACAAACAGCCCAGGGGTGGCAGTGAGGAGCAGGTCAATGGAAGCCCACTAGAGAGGCGATCTGAAGATCACTTAACTGAAGGGCATCAGAGAGAGATTCCGCTCCCCAGCCTGAGTAAATATGAAGCCCAGGGTTCATTGACTAAAAGCCATTCTGCTCCGCAGCCAGTCCTGGTCAGCCAAACTCTGGATATTCACAAAAGGATGCAACCTTTGCACATTCAGATAAAAAGTCCTCAGGAAAGTACTGGAGACCCAGGAAACAGTTCATCTGTCTCTGAAGGGAAAGGAAGTTCAGAGAGAGGCAGTCCCATAGAAAAGTACATGAGGCCTGCGAAACATCCCAATTATTCTCCACCAGGCAGCCCTATTGAAAAGTACCAGTACCCACTTTTTGGGCTTCCCTTTGTACATAATGACTTCCAGAGTGAAGCTGATTGGCTGAGGTTCTGGAGTAAATATAAGCTCTCCGTTCCTGGGAATCCACACTACTTGAGTCACGTGCCTGGCCTACCAAATCCTTGCCAAAACTATGTGCCTTATCCCACCTTCAATCTGCCTCCTCATTTTTCAGCTGTCGGCTCAGACAATGACATTCCTCTCGATTTGGCGATCAAGCATTCCAGACCAGGGCCAACTGCTAACGGTGCCTCTAAGGAGAAGGGCAAGGCACCGTCCAGTGGAAAAAATGAAGGTCCTTTGAATGTAGTAAAAACAGAAAAAGTGGATAGAAGTACTCAAGATGAACTTTCGACAAAATGTGTGCACTGTGGCATCGTCTTTCTGGATGAAGTGATGTATGCTTTGCATATGAGTTGCCATGGTGAGAGTGGACCTTTCCAGTGCAGCATATGCCAGCATCTTTGCACGGACAAATATGACTTCACAACCCATATCCAGAGGGGCCTACATAGGAACAATGCACAAGCAGAAAAAAATGGAAAACCTAAAGAATAAAAACCTTAGCACTTAGCACAATTCAATAGAAATAGGTTTTCTTGATGGGAATTCAATAGCTTGTAATGTCTTATGAAGACGTATTAAAAAAACAAAACAAAAAAAAAAAACCACAAAAAAAAACAAAACACAACAACAGAAAAAAAGCAAAACAAAAAAAACTTCATAGAGCCTGCCTTATCCAACAGGAAAGTCCCTTCTTTTAGTATTCTTTTCTTTTGATGAGTAGGTTACCAAGATTTAAAGAGTGAGATAAATGGTCAGTGAGAAAGAATGAGAGATGGCAAACTGTCATTGTGGGGAACCCAGTAACCCAGAACCATCCTGTTCCATGCTTACTGGGTGAAAGGGCCATGTGAAATACCACCATCCTCTAATTATTGTGTTTGTGACGAAAGATTAAAAACTGCCTAGAATTTCAAAGGGTTTACATACTGTGATACTACAGCAGTATTTGACAGGCCCATTGGCCTGTTGGTTCAAAACTGTAGATATTTATTGGCTAAATTGAGAAGAATCATACAATCTTAAACAAGCCTAGTGTAAGGAAGATGGTGCCCTCTTGAATCAGTGCACTCTCACTGACCATGTTTCAGATTTAGACCCAAGAAATGTGAGCTGTGGCTAGACGTGGTGAGAGAGCTGCAGGGGAGGTGACAGACGGTGGCATAGTGATTTGGCTAACCCTGCCTGTACATACACATGCATACCTTCTCTTGTTATTTTTGTCCTTTAGATGTTCAAATATTCACGAGTCCTTTTGTTTGCAATTTAGGTTCATTTTGTCCAAATATATATGCATTTGTAAAACCAGTGTCCTCAATGCTTACATAATTTTTTTGGTTTTCGTTTCCTTTTTTTTTTTACACCGCCCACCTTTCGTTTTCCTTTTTTTTTTTTAAAAAATTTTTTTTTCTTTTAGCCAAGTATTTATCTCTTGAATATGAGGAACTAGGTTGGATTTGCTTTTAGACCTCTTGTTGGTCACTACTCTCACTTGGAACATCATGACTTAAGGAATCCCCACAGTCCAAAAACTAGATGTATCCAAAAGTCAGACCATGGGCTTAATTTGTTTAGAACACAAGGTATTTCTCCACCAGGTAACCTGCTGTATTTATTTATTTTCTTTTTTGGTTATATATAATGTCTAAACTTTGTGGTCAGGCAGAATCTAAGGTTTCGTTACCACAGACTGACAGTTGGTATATGTACCAGTCAATCCCTTCAGTAGATTTATACAGGTTTAGTTACGTAGCATTAAATAGGATTCTTAGAAGTGTGTCTTCTTAGTACTTTTAATACTTAAAAGGCTTGTCAAACTATCCATGAAGGGAAGCTCCTCAGCGTAACTGCTCAGGGAAATAGGGCTAAATAACTGAACATTAAATAATTGGTTAAAGGTGCTGTTAGTCGAACCTCAACGCTTGCTACAAGGATGTATGTACAAGGACTGACTTTCATAATTTGCATTATATTGTCCCAACCAGTAGTTTATTTTTTGCCACGGAGATGTAGAAGATATTACAAGCTACTGGATGCACTGTCAGATTAACTTATTTCATTAAAGAAGTTGGGAGAACAAATAGGAAAAAAACCTTATTTTTCTAGTAAATATTAATGTATTACATTTCAAATAATGGTGCCTGACATATTGAATAATTATTTTCTACAGTGTACGTATGCAACAAAGATATTCCATCATGCATTAGAGTCGGTTCTGGCTCTGCCTAGCTGTTTACATTTGCAAATGTAGCAAACAAGCTAATGAAGCAACTATTTCTATTGCAGTAGATATCTTTTGTGTGTGTGTATGTGTGTGTGCATTGAAGTTGTAAACGGTAACATGAAACAATGGAAGTTCTTGATATAACGGTATGGAAAACAAGAAGGAAATGAAAATATTTTTATGCCTACTTAGGAAAAAAAAGGGTAGCACTATTCATTCCAAGTACTTTTTTTTTAAGCTCTTAACTCACATTGTTATGCTTAAAATGATAAACATATATCCTCTTTTTATTGCTTTGTGTTTCAGACGAAACATTTCAGAAATTATTTTGATGGTCGCTGCCGGACTCTGCAGCGCTAGTGTTTTTACCGCCTTTGTAGTTGCATTTGCACTCCAGTTTTACATGAATTCACAGTTTGCTTTGTGTTGTTTTGTTTTGTTGGGGGTTTTGTCTCTTTTTTCACAGTGCCGGGTCTTCGTTGCTTAAAGCTGGATGGCAGATCGAGTTCACCCAGATTATGACTGTTGCAGTGAATGAAGTTAAAAGTGTCTTTCCAATGTTGTGTTGTCATTTCCATTCTTGCATTTTCATTTTCATGTTTAATATAAGAGAGTGAGAGTAAGAAATCAGGACTGAGTCCTCTGCTTTGGTTTCACTGTCAAAGGGCCCCATTCTTCCCTCACATGTCGCACAGCTCTTATATTCACAGAACCGAAATAAAAGAGGTGGAATGAGGAGCTTGGACATTAGAATGTTGTGAAATAATGAATCCTTCTTTGCAGCTTTGCTAAATGCATCTCAAAGTGTATAGGCAAAGGTGGCAATTAAACATCGAGCAAAGAGATTTCCCAAACAACGAAACAGTCTTTATTTCTTAAGTTAAAAGGATTAAAACTCCGCTGTCATCCTCAAGCAGCTTGTACCTGTGGACTGCTCCAGTCAGTGAGGTCCCTGAAGTTCAGTTAACTTGGGTGGTATTACAGGTATCACTTTCCAACAGAACTCCTCAAGCAATTTCTCCCCTGTGTTAGATACAAGTAATGTGTTCATTCTTGACATTGTACACTTTTTATTTTACTCCTTTTTTTTTTTTTACCCCCCTCATAGTAGTAATGACTAGCATTGGGAAAAAAATACATATCACTCTTCCTGGAATATTTATGGTCAGTCTACTTTCAGTAGAATATTCTTGGATAGCATTGGCATGTTAGATCTTCCTTCATAGTTTTCTATTGATTATTATATTTTTGCTTTCCTTTGTACACATAGGTAGGTTGGGAAGAGATTGGGCTTTGAAAAAAGGCTAAAGCTTATCATAACACTAAAAGAGCCCTTTATTATGTATTAAAGCCTTTGTCACATCTCTGAAAATACAATATTTTAAAGATGGCATTTTGTTTTCATATGTTTTTAATAATCTTAAAGTGTGATCTTAAGTGAGCTATTGAGGTACTTGACCTTTTTTTTTAATTGTTTTAGAACTTTCAAGGACTCTTGGGTCTTTTTTTCCTTTTGAAAATGGCTTCCCCGAAGATAAAGACTATATGCCAGCTAAAATTGTATGCCATTTAGATCCTGTAGGCCTTGGATAATTCTTGTTCCTCTATCTTCTGGATTGAACTTTGCATCGAACTCTAGGTCAGCTCTAGCTCATGCATCATCTCACTGTTTCTCTCGTCATCTCTCACCCACATATTCGTCCTGTTGTTTGGGATAGTAAAACCATAACGAACCAGACCACCTCAGAAGGTTGTGGATTTGAGAGACTCTACGCGACTCCCAGCCTGTGAGAAAAGGATGGCGCTCTATACGGTATCCTGTAAACGCTGTAGTTCCAAAGGGAAAGAGCCCACTCGTTTCTCTCCACATGACATGTTGAGATGTTCTCTTTAAAAAAAAAATAATAAAAATCAACTGTTACGATAATGATACTCTGCTCTATTCTCTTTTAGGAAAGGTAGATTTTAGAACATGAGCATGGGGGATTCTTTTCTAAGGTAATATCCATGGGGCAAAGAAGTAGGGGAAAAGGAGAATTATTGACAGCTCTTTGTTGAAGCCTGTGGTAGCACATTATGTTCATGATTGCACATGTGCACATATCTATTACAATCCAATGCAAATACAGCTCCAAAAAAATTAAATGTATATATATTTTGAAATGCCTGAGGAAATATGTTTTCATAATAAATTGAAGAGTATTGATAATGCTATTAAAAGAAGTCTTAGCCTTCTGGTATGTGGCTGCAGAATATCACCGAGTGGTCTGTCTAGAGACCTTGGAACTGCCTAGCGGTGTAGTTGGTATACATTGATGCATCTTAAGGGGGGGGGAGCTCCTGGCCATCCCCCGGTGGAAACACAGAGCCAAGAAGCAAGTGGTCTGAGCCTCTGCTGCATGCCAGCCTCTTTGACCTAAAGTTCAGATGAGCTTACAGCTTCCCTGCCTCTGGGGTGAGGTCCACCGTCTTTTAGCAAACAAGCAGTTGAAAGCTTGCTGACTGGCATACATCACAGTAATAAGCTGAGGAATTGTTGAACCTGAATAGCAAATTAAATATGCTGATCAAAGGTAGGTACTATGAGGTGGAACTCTCTGAGCAGGGCCACTGTACGTTGAGAGGAGGCTGGAAGGCCTTGGGAGAAGGGCAGTGTTATTTTTTTCCAAAGAAAGACTTGACCCCGGGCCACAGACATGGCTTCTTTGCAGAGCACTCGTTCTGGTCCCCACCTTGCCGCCTCACAGACCGCTAGTTCTTGCTCCTAGTGGCTGTGCAAGTGTGGCGATGGTCTCCGTGGTTATTTGCAGCCACTTGGACTTCAGGAAGATGCCAGGGCAGGATATCTCAAGCCAAGAGTGAAGAAACTCTGAGATTGAACATCGGTTCACGCATGGCAGCTCGATCTTCCCTGTTGCTGTCTCGCTGCCTTGGAGCTTAGCTTCATTCCATCCTGCACCAGAGAAGAGCAAATGTGACTTCACCCTGCAATTCCTTCCCTTTCATCCAGCCCCCTGAGCCCCCAGCCAGGGTCCTGACTTGACTCCTGGCGGGTTTGAATTAGGATGACCTGCAACAAATCACTTTGTGCTCTTTGTGCCTCAGGTTCCTCAGCTGTAAAATGGAAAAAAAGAAATATATTAATAATAATATTATTAATAATAATGGTATAATGGTAATGTAGTACTTGTTTGTAAAGCACTTTGAGATCCTTGGTTGAAAGGCACCCCAATGAGTGCCAAGTATTATTATCTGGCCAAGGGGCTTATTT